TTTATAATTTTTGCGCGATTTTTGTGGATTTACATTTTGTTTCTTAATGAGCTTGGCTTTTATGAAAAAATAATAAACATTAAAGAGAAACAGCCAAAATCGATCCAAATATTCATGACTTATTCAGCTGATCACAAGTGTATGTATAAAATTATTTTTATATTAACGACCAGTTTACAATGAATTTTAAATATGTTCTGTCGAAATGACATCGAGCCCTAACCGCCAAAATAACGTAAGCGACCAAATTTTCTTTTTAATGCAGAAATGCATCTAAATGCTCTAGGAATATTTCTGCATCAAAAAGAACATTTTGAAAAAAATGTCGCTTACGTTATTTCGGCGGTTAGGGCTCGATATGTACCTTTGTATACAATAAAAGTTTAATAAGAACAATTTTTTGTACATCCAATTGAAAAAGACGTTTTTGGGTAGGAAAAGACGTTTTTCAGGCCAAGAGGGACGTTTTCTCATGCCGAAGACCTGGCAACACTGACTGGAACACGGCTGTTTGTCAAAAGCATACGATTTCGAACTCGCGTAAATGTACATTTCCTAAATGCGATAGCATGAACGCTCCTCGAAAAAATATGTTCGAAAGTGCTAAATGTTGCAATTTAAATGCAGCAAAAACGCTACATTAGTTACTGCTTAAGCCAGACTTTGCACGACCTTGCAACAATGTCAAATTCCATATTATATCAAGCAGAGTCTGTACGAAAAATGGTCATAGTTACCCAAGAGTTGCGACTGATGAAGCAGATGCAAGTTCACACTCCGACAATGACATTTCGCTGACATAACTCAAAAAATATACATATACGTATAAAAGAAAAAAACAAATATATAGTTATAAGTTATATACTCATTAAAAAATAATCGAATATATTAAACAATTTTACATTCAAATTTGAAATAGTGTTTTTTTTGCAGTGTTAAGCTTTAAAATTAATTTAAACTGTAAATACGTTTTTCGATTATATTGTTCTCAGAGCCCTTGGGAAGGT